ATTTTTTAAAATCTGTAATATGGGAATAATAATATCATCTACTTTGAAGACTTAGTATGGATTCTTTCACAATTGAGAAAAATAACTGATGCATGTATTTTTGGAGGGGGTTTCTTTTTTATTGGCAGTATTGGGGATTGAACCCAAGACCCTGTGCATGATAGAAAAACACTCTACAACTGAGCTGCATCTGTGTTCTCCTTTTTTATTTTTCATTTTGAGACAAGGTCTCATTAAGTTACCCAGGCTAACCTCAAACTTGTGATCCTCCTGTCTCAGCATCCTGTGTTGTTAGGATTACAGGTGTGCAACACCAGGTCCAGATGATAGATATATATCTGTCATCTATCTCTATATATCTATATCTATCTATCATATAAGGAAGGAGTCCACACCTTTATTAAATGAACTATCAGGGGCTGGGGTTGTGGCTTGGTGGTCGAGTGCTCATCTAGCATATGTGAAGCACTGGGTTCAATCCTCAGTACCATATAAAAATAAGTAAACAAAATAAAGGTATTGTGTCCATCTACAACTAAAAAGATATTAAAAAGAGGACATATATGTGTGTATATATACACATATACATAAATATATGTGTATACATATGTATATGCTTAGATATGGTACATACATACAAACATATATATATATATAAAATCAGAATAACTCCCAACACATAGTGCTATTTAACTGTAAGCATTACTATCAACATTATTAATGTCATTATGTCATGGTTGTATCTTTTCTGTCATTTCTATTTCTTCAGTTAGTTCTCCTTCTTGTGCCTTCTTTTGGACTAATTGATTAGTCTGCATTATTCCTGATTTGGGGTGTGTTAATTTAGAAGCTATTATGTTTTTTTCATTTTCTTAATGGTTATTCTAGAAACGGTAACTTTCATAACTAAAGCACCAAGTCCCAAGTCTGTCAATCATCATCTTGGCCCTCTTCCAGAACCTTTGAGATTGAAACCAAAGCACCCTATACCTGGATTCCAACCATCCTTCACCAACTTCCATGTGATTTTGCTCTATTTGTTCTTTCTTTTTTGTGTCTCTGACATTCCATCTGGGGTGTGTGTGTGTGTGTGTGTGTGTGTGTGTGTGTGTGTGTAGTGCTGGGATTGAACCCAGGGCGAGGCAAGCACTCAACCAACTGAGCGCCACCCCCAGCTCCGGTATCAGTCTCTTTCTCCTGTTTGCATTCCCTTTGAAGCAGCTTTTGTGCTGGAGGACGGCTTGGGTGAAGTTCATCACACCTGTGGCAAAGCGTCATCGTCACTCAGCGCACTCCCAGCTATCACGAAGGGAGCTGTCAATCAAATCACCACTTCCTGGAAGGTCATGGTCTTTCTGCCTCCCTTTAAGGTCGCTGCGTTTCATCTGGTCTTCCCGAGTTACCCCCTGACGTGTGGATCATCCCCTCTTCCTCAGGAGTCCGCCTCGGAGTCGTGTGTGGTGCGTCTTGGGACCCGCTGCCCGGGCCGAGGGTCCTTGCTGTCTGCCCACTGACATGGGGGTCTTGATTGCTGCTGTCCCCTGTTTGTGGAGGTGACTCCTGTCTTTTTTAGTTGTGTTTAGCAGGAAGGCCACCGTACGTCCCTTCTGTGGACAGCCTCTTTTGTTCTGTATTTATTATTTGTCATAATCCGGGAGCCAGGTGACCATGTGAAAGCCCTGCTTACTGGCACTGGGACTGGCTCTGAAGATGTCGTAGTGACCGAGGTTTTCTGAGCTGCCAGGCTGAGGCCCAGGTGAGGCTCGAGTCTTTCCAAGCTGGCCCGTGGCCTCCCGGGAGGCGCCCTTCTCTGTGCAGCCCGTGCCCGTGTGAGAGTGGGTTAGGAAGCTCTGCCCCGAAGTGCTTCATGTTGTGGATGGATTAACCCCCACAGGAGCACAGGGCGCAGCAGGGTCACACGCCAGGGTCCCGGGGATGCAGGATTTCAGGGATGGGGTCGAGGTCATGCGCTGTGTTTGGAAACAATCACCAACTCGCTTCCTGCTTGGACCCGAACTCGGCCGGGACCCCCATCAGCTCTGCTAGATCTCTACAGGAGCCTGCATCTCCACCCTCCCAACCACACCCGCGTCCTGAAGTCCCCAGGACCTGCGTCCTCCGCTGTCACTTGTGACCCCAGGAAGGCCACCGGTCACACCTTCAACGTGTTTTTATAGAAGTCCCTTGAAGCAGAGGGCGACGGGGCCTAGGGCGCCCCACCCCGTCCTTCACTGGGCAGCGCGTCTGGGGATCTGTGCACACTGAGGCAGAGAGTGCTGGGCCCGTTAGGAGCCAGGTCACCCCTCTCGGAGGCCCCCCCGGGTCCCGACACCTGGGCCAAGCCGGCCTTCTGGGCTGCGTCCCCCATAGCCTCAAGCTGAGAGACCAACGGGCAGCTGGCGGGCACTGTGACCCACGTGCCACTGACCCACCACCTTGCAGCACCCCTGGAGGACATCACAAGGCCAGGGGCGGGCGGCCGAGAATCCCATCCTTCGGGTCTGGGGACCAGGACGTCCAGGTACCCCGCTGCTCGCGCAGGTGGCCACCTGGCCGACTGGAGCTGCCTGGGCGGGAAGTGGCCTCAAGTGGCTTGGAGTGGGTGTGTGCTACGGCGCCCACAGCCGGGCTCCCTCCCCAAGCCTCCTGAGGAAGTCTGTGCCACCCGCCCGTCCTGGGAACTCAGGGCCACCCTCTATGGTCACCCCCCTCCCTGTGACTCGCACCCCCTGGGGATGTCCCTCAACCTCCGGCACCAGCTGTCGGTGTCCAAGTCCCTGTCTTGGGGTTCGCTTGTGGGGGACTCAAAGCTAAGAACCCACCGCAGCTGAGCCTGTCCTGCTGAGAAGCCACGCACGGCCAGTGGCTCCAAGCTGGCTGCTGCTCTGGGCTCCCTGGAGGTCAGTGGAGGGCGGCTCCGTGGGCAGCAGGGTCTGTGGGCAGGGCCAACGGGGTGGGCCGAGAGCAGGGCCCTCAGCTCCCCTGGCAGCTCCGTGATTGGAAAGCTGCCCCTGCCCGGCCACGACCCAGTGGGCAGGCAGGACTGGCGGGGGCCTCTGGGTGGCCGCCGGCCTGCAAAGCTGCTTGCAGAGTGGACTGGCTCACGAGGCAGGTGCTGGGCAAGCTGGATGGCAGCCCTGGGTGGACCTTGAGCTCCTGGGGCAGCGCCGCGTCTGGGCTGCAGGAGTGTTCCAGGAGCATTTGTGTGGATGGGCCGGTCAAGTGGCCCTCAGCAGGGAAAGCAAGGGGCCGGGCCAGCCAGGGCCAGCCGGGAGCTCAGGGCGGAGGAGCGTGCTGTGGGGCTCTGGCCGGTTCTGCGCGGGCTCTGGGGCAGGCCCAGCGAGCACAGGGGGGAAGTGACCTGGGAGCCCTACCGTGGGGACACACAACGCTGGCCGACCACGGCCCTGGCCCACCTCCTCACCTGAGGCGGGCTGTGCTGGGTGGGTGGCCCTGCCCGCTGCCCGCCTGCCCCGCCCCAGAGAGCAGACCAGCGCTGTGCAGAGGCAGCGAGGGAGACTCTTTATTGGAGAACGCGTCACAGACAGGGGCCCAGGACGGGCTCCCAGACAGAACCCCGCCCAGGTGGGGAGCCCCAGGCCCAGCCCGGCACAGCCATGATGTCCTCGCCCTGCCTGGGTGCCCTCAGAGCCTCCAAGGAAAGAGCTGGCCCCGAGGACACTCCCAGGGCCCAAGGTGGCCCTCTGGGGTGCCCACCCTCATGCTTGCCCTCCCATGGCCAGGGCGGGAGCAGGACGGGCTCCAGCGGTGAGCGCTGTGGGGCTTGTCCGGAGCAGCGCGGCTCCCAGCACTGGCCTGGGCCTGGTCAGCTCCTGAGGGCCCCGCTCAGTGTGGGCAGAGGGCCAGGGCCCAGCGGGGCTCCTGGGAAGCCCAGCGGACTCCCCAGGAGAAGGGAGAGAGGACAGGGTGTGAGGGGAGGAGGAGCGGGCAGCTGCAGGAAGGCCTTAGGCCTGCGGTGGGTGGAGGCCGGCCTCCCCCTGTCCCCGGGACTGGGGCCAGCAGGGGACTCAGGCCTAGGCCTCCAGGGCGCGCACGTGCACACTGGGCAAGCAGAACCAGGACGGCGGCAGCTCCTTGCTCTTGCTGTCCTCGTGGAACCGGATGTGCAGGAAGAAGTCCCCGGTGTAGAGGAAGAGGAGGGCCCCGAGGCAGGATGCCTGGCCTGAGGGCTGTACCTGTGTGGGAGGAGGAAGGACATCAGCCCATATTACCAACACCAACCCCAAAGCCACTAGGAGTGCCCTGAGCCTGCCCAGGCAGCAGGACACGTGGAAGGGAGGGACAGCCCGGGTCAGCCCACCCAGGCCTGGCTCCCATGCCCTCTCCCAGACTTCTTTGCTGTGCTGCCTTGGGCAAGTTGCTATACCTCTCTGAGCCTGTTTTCATCTCTGAAAGAAGACGATTGCATTTCCCTCTCTGAGCTGTTTGGGGGTTCTGTGAGTCAGGAGTATAGGCTGCAGTGTGGGGGTGGCTGGGGTGCAGCAGGTGGAGCAGGTGCTCGGGCACCTGGTGTGCAGTGGCTGCTGGTCTGGGAGTGAGGGCACCCCGGTGACAGGAGCGCACTCCAGTGCTCCCTGGCCCGGCCCTCGAGGGAGGTGCGGCCATCGTCCTGGCCTCCTGGACCCGGGTCAGGTGGCACAGGGTTACGATGTGTCGAGAGGAGCCCTGTCTGCTGATCTGGGCTGACCCTGCAGCCCGGCACCCGGGGGAGGGAGGACAGGAGGCCTGGGCTGCACGAGGCCCCGCTGAGCCGCCACGCACCGCGTCGAGGTAGAAGGTGCCGGAGCCCACGAAGGACAGCGTGTGCTGCAGCTCGCGGTCGTGCACGCCGTTCTGGTGGTCCTGGAAGGGCAGCACCGTGAGCGCAAAGGGGCCCACGCTGTGCGGGCTCCGGTTGGTCAGCCGCACCTCCAGGCTCACAGGGTCGCCCACCCGGCAGGCCGCCGCCGCCTCGCAGTCACAGGGCTGTCCGTCCACCAGCACGTCTGCAAGGGACACGAGGTTAGAGGCGGCGCTCACCCCTCCTCCCGGCCCCTCCAGGCCAGGCTGGGTGCAGAGCCCGGGGCGGACACCCTCTGAAGCAGGGTCTGGCAGAGACACCGTGGGGGCAGAGTACAGCGCTCTCCGTCCTCCGCCTGAGGCACCGTGGGCGCTCCTAACACCGCCACAGAGAAAGGCTGACCCTGCCCACCGTTCCCGGGCTCTCCAGGGTTCCCCTGGTCCAGGTGAGGGTCAGAAACCACGGGGTGGGAATGGGGAAGGACCAGGCAGGGCAGCCGGCACCTGACTGGACCCTCAGTGACCACGTGCCTGAAGTCAGGCTGGGGAGGTAGGAGACCAGTGCAGGAATGACTGGCAGAGGCCCTGGAGGAGGCTGGGTTCAGGGAGACCCACCTGGCCCATGGGAGGAGCAACACCCGCACTCCCACCTGCTCACGGGACCTGGGCCAGCAGGATGGCCTGGGGGCAGGGCCTGGGACCTGGTAGGAGGCACACGGAGGCCAAGTTCTGAAGGCTCCCCTCCTTACGGTGGCTTGGGTTCCTGCCCCTGTCCCCAAGGTAGCCATTCAGGTCGAGTGCTCCCGTTGTGGGACGGCAGGTGTGGGGCCAGCCAGGGGCCGGGCCACGCCGGGGCTGGTGGGGAAATGGCAGGCCGCCTCGGGTGACAGCACCACCAAGGCAAGAAGTGAGTGGCTGGCAGGGCCCCGAGCTGGCCCCGAGCTGGCCCACAGCCACCTCCCCCTCAGTGGCTGCACTTGTGTCCCTCCCCATCTACAAGGCAAGGCCTCCATGGCGCCAGCTACGCAGGAGCAGGAGGAGCTCCGTCATGCCAACGCCGACTGTCCCTCACACCCTGCCAGCCCCTGTAGCCAGTGTGATAAGGACAGAGGCGGACAAGTCCCAGCGCTGAGAGTTCACAGTGGGAGAGAACAGGCCAGTCATCCAAGACTTGGGCCAGCCTGAGTCTGCAGTGGCCCAGCAGCAAGGGTGTCCACAAGGGGGCCGGAGGGGTCCCTCCCTCGGTGCAGGCACAGGGGACGGTACCAGAAGGAAGAGGACACCTTTCTCTTTTCCTTTATATATTTTTAGGCTATGATTTGCCCTCAAAACTTTGCTTCTGCTGCACCTTACAGCCCTGACTGACAGAACCGCCTGAGCTGAGTCTGGCCAGGCTGGCATCTGCTTGGGGCTGAGCCCTTGCCCACGGCTCTATCTGTAGCACACATAAGCACCTCCGACAGTGTCTGGCACACAGCGGGCAGCCAAGAGGACGGGCTGTTCTTTGCACTAGCTGCCGGGCTCTGCTGAGGCCAGAGCGAGTGTCAGAGGAACCCAACACTCATGGCCTGAGACTCCTGTCAGATGCAGCCAAGCCAACACTGCCATCTGTGAGGAGACACCCACACCCGGTTCTAGAAATGCCCCTCTGGAGAGGTCAGCCGCGACACCAGCAAAGCTCCATCTTGCCGCATGGTAAGTGTCTGAGGGACTTGAGACCTGAGGACAGTGCTGCTGTGTGACAGGTGGCCCAGCACAGGGAGGTGCCCGTCAGTCCTCAGCACCCCTCACCTCTGCTCTGTGAATGTCCCCCGAGTGGTGAACCCAGCCCCGGTGCAGCTGAGGCTCTTGAACAAGCGGGAACGTGCCTGGTGCTGCTGAGGGAGGGAGGGAGGGCCGCGCGGGTCAGGGGGGCACGGCTGCTCCAGGGCGCCTCTGCTCTGTCCTTCCCGCACACTGTGCCACGGCCCCCTGCCGTCCACCCGTCCTAGCCCAGCTCTGCACAGCCCAGGGGAGACAGGATGGCAAAGCTGGAGAGTCGCTGTCCTGCAAGCAATTGTCCCCATGAACACAGCTCCTGGGGGACTCCTCCCTGTCCTTTTCTAAGGGGAGGGGGGCAGAGGGCGTGGGGCCTGACGGCTGGCCGGGAAGCAGACATGTGCCTGGGGCTGGACCCTGGGGGGTCTCAGCCTCACCTCTGACCTGCTGCTCCGCCAGCTGAAGCCTCCTCCACTTCACCTGCAGCACTGGCACGGTGGGCCTGACCTCCCAGGTGGGATGGGGTGAGGGCCTAGGCTGAGAGGACCTGGCGGGGGGGTCTGTGGGTGCTCCTACCAGAGCTGGGACGTGTGGCTGTCATGACCGGCCTCCCTGATGCCCCCTGCAGGGAGGGCAATGACGGAGAAGGGTCAGTGCGCAGGTCTAGCTGTCCCTAGTCTGCCAGTGTGCCTGTCCTGCAGTGCAGGCAGACTGGGACACTTGGTCACTCCACCCTGGGGTTCCTGACCCCTACACCAACCGGCTGCCAAGTGAGTGGGCTTCTGAGCTCCACAGTGGCCACTTCCTTCTGGTTTCAGGGGGCAGCCGCTGCGGCGCCAGCAGGTCAGACCCTGGCCCAGGCACACCACGCCTCCCCGTGACACTGCCCGGAAGCCCGTCTCCCCAGCGGGCAGGGCAGGCTTGCTTTCTCCAGAGAGTGCCACAGTTCCCGAGTTCCAAAGGACACCCTGGTTGGCTCCCTGGGGACCCACAGGGTGCTGCTTAGGGAACACGGTGAAAATACATCTCAGGATAACAGCCCAGTGGCGGCCAGTGACTGAGCTGTCCTGGAGAGGACATCGCTGCCGCATAGCTGTGCCCAGGCCGCGCTCGCAGCCCCCAGAGCCACTGTCCTAACACCGGGGCTGAAGCTGGCTCACCTCTCGGACCTGGGACCAGAACCAGCTGCCTGCCAACCTTGGGGAAGAGGAGTGCCTCCTCTCCGGAGCCCCGATGAGCAAGGCTGCTGCCGGCAGGAACAGCGGAAGCCCCAGAGGAGCTGGCCCCGGGACCTGGGTCTGCGGGCGCAGGAGGGCGCTGCAGCGAGGGAGGTGAGACTTCGCAGACGGCCACCGAGGCAGGGCTGGAGGGCCACCGTGAAGTGTGGGCTCTGATGGCCCTTGTTCCCGCTGTGCTTGCCCCACCATGCTCCCAGAGAGGCCCCAGGGACACAGTGAGGGACCCAGGAGGGCAGAGGGGTCTGGAGGAAGTGGGGGTCTGGCGTGGTCTCAGCTCAGTCATGGCAAGGTGAGCACCTGAGGGGAGGGGCCTCCGGAAGGAAGGGCCTGGATTGCCAGCTCCCCCCCTCCAGGACCACTAGGCAGAAGTGCAGCCCCTTCAGAGCAACGAAATCAGTTCAGGGGGGCCTGGGGACGAGTGGAGCCCTGCAGCCCGCGGAGCCCCTCCAGGCCCCTCGGTGGACAGCCAGCCTGGGCAGGCAGAGCCAGGCTCAGAGCCGACAGGCTGGTGTGGCCCTGTCTTGCTGTGAATGGACACAGCTGACACCCTGAGTCTTGGTCTCCTCACTTAGAATCCCCGATGTCTGTCTGGGCAGCTAGTGGGTGTCTCCTCCTTAACTTAGGCAAAATGGAGGCCTCCACTTCTCAGATGCCTGTTCCCTGGTGCCCCGTCCAGTGGCTCCCACTCATCTGGAGGGTCAGTCTGTCCTCTCCACCTGACACCCAGCCCCAGCCAGTGGGCATGTCCTGTGGTCAGTGGGGCTGTGCCTTCTCCTTGCCTCCCCAGGCCAGCACTCTCTCCCGCAGTTCCCCGGGCCCCTGTGTCCACACGCTCTCAGGCCAGGCTCAGACCCTGCTGTGACAATGCTGGTGGGGGACATCTCCACTTGGTTTGCCCTTTGCTGGCCCTGAGCTTGCCCCTCCTCCACCACTGTCCTGGTTGTCCCTGCAGCACACCATTTCTGACCCCAGGTCCTTTGCACGGCGGCTCCCCACCTGCAGCTCCTTCTTGGCCTGCTCCCCAGAGAGGCTGCCCTGACCACCCAGCAAAGGGCCTCACTGCCCGTCAGCACTGCACTTTTCATAGGCCTCCTCCTCTTGTCTGAAGCTTTCTTGTTGACTCGTTTAGTCATTAACTGTCTCTGCCTCTCCTCCAGGAAGCTCCAGGAAACTGGCCCTGGCTTTCCTGCTCACCATGGTGCCCAGGACCCAGAACAGAAAGGCACGTGGCAGACACTGGTCTTCTTCCTTATCTGGTGAAGGAATGAAAGGGTGGTCCTCGGGGCACCACAGGGCTTGGGGCTGGAGCCCTGTCCACACCCTGCGCCTCCACTCACTCTGCCTGTGTTCCCACCCCGTGCTCCTCTGTAACAGGAGGGGACTGGAGCCACCATCTAAAGTGCACTCCAAACAGAGGACCCGGGGACCAAGGCCGGGCCCACATGAGGGTGCACTCCTGGGGAGGCGGCTCCTGCAGGGGACCGCATGGCGCCAGGCTTCTCCCAGGAGCAGACGAGCTTCTTTTCTCAAAGTATTAAATCAGGTCAAGGACCATCTTTTCCTCTGAGCCTCTGGCCCCAGTCTCTCCTCCGCATTTTGAACTGGCCAGAGTCACGGACTTCATCCTGCCTGGCCCAGAATTCCTCCTGAGGAGGCTGCTCTGTGCCGCACCCGGCAGGCTCTGCAGAACCGCAGGCTAAAAATAGGAGACGCGAGGCCAGGGCTCCCGGGGCTGCGCTGGCAGACAGGAAGGGACATGGCCTGGGCTTGGGCCCAGGGTGGCCAACATGGGCCTGAGAGAATGGGCATGTGGCCCGTGGCAGGGGAGGCTGGGCTGGCTCAAGGCTCTTACTGCAGCTGACAGGATCCCCACCTGCCAGGCCCGGGCCACCTTGTCTTCTAGGAGCACAGAGAGCAGGTGCAGCTCTAGTGGTTCTGTAGAACTCGGGGCTGCAGAGGGGTGATGTGGGTTGCCACACAGGAGCAAGCCCTGAGCTGCTGGGGAGGCACGGGGGCCTAGGAGGAGTCAGCAAGCCACCCCTTTTCAGGAGAGTGATGACGATTCGTCACACAGACATGCAGAAGTACACTCTGTTGGTGGCACCTGGGTTTTCCACCTCTCGCTGTAGGAAATGCTGCTGTGAACTTCATTCAAGTTTTAGTTTCTCTGCGTGGACGCCTGAGAGGACTTGCACGGAGGAGGACGGCGCTGCCAGAGTGCTTCCCCTCAGCCCTGAGGGCTGCAGTCCCCCGGTGGCGCGCTCTTGTCTGCACCTCTGTGACACTGCCTCCGGTCTGCCTTTTGGGTCCTGACGTCTTGAGTGGGCTGAGGGACCCTGTCCTCTGGTGCCCAGCCATGCGACCTAGTGCTCACTGTCCCCCACCACCTGGGGACAGCCCTGTGTGCAGGCTGCAGGCTTGCTCCCTGCAGAAGGACCTGGAACCACTAGCCCAGGCCTCCACTCTTGAGGTGCTCCCTCCCTGGGAGCCTGGGCCCCAGCAGGGCTGGAACCGAGGCCGAGGCTCTTCCCAGGAGCAGCTTCCAGAGCTGAGAGACAGGCCAGTTAGGGGCCACCAGAGAGGGGCAGGACTCCAGCTCTGGGCAAGCCACATTACAAGAGCAAAGCCCTAGGCCACAGCAGGGTGGACACAGGAATTAGAGCCATGGGACAGGGCAAGGAGGGCCGGATCCCAGGACCTGCGGGCCAACTGGTCGGGACTGGGCACTGCAGCATGTCAGCTGTCCCTCCAGTCTGGTCTCTGCTGACTGGTGCTGGAGGGCCAATCCTGGGCCAGGAGTAGCTGGTCTCCGCTGGCACCTCGGAGATATTTGCTGGCTTCTTAGGGAGAACAGGCCTGTCCAGCAGTGGTTGTAGACCACAGTGGACTTCAGAAGACAGCCTAGCTCCCCTCATCCAGGGTGGTGCTGGGCATGCGTTTCCGATGTGGTGTCCACAGGCACCATCTGTCTTCCTCAGAGCGGCTGTGGGGAGGAGCAGGGAGAGGAGGTGTGGAGGACGGCAGGGTGGCCCCTCCCAGGCGGCGCTGCACCCGGCTCCTGCTCCCACACATGGTTCAAGGAACCCTCTAAGACATGAGTGGGCCCAGGGCGAGTGCAAGTCACCACTGTGGCAGGTGCGGGACCCGTGAAGCCTTGCCCTCCCAGCTCAGCCCCCACCTGCTCTGCCGCTTGAGGACAAGGCTCCAGAGGCCGGAACGTGAAGGATGATTTTTGCTCCAGAGCTCCAACTCCGAGCGAGGCTGTCCTGCCTCTCCTCCCTGTAACTCCATTCACCTGCCCAGGAGTCCAGCAGAAGCAAGGAATTCGAGGTAGACTTCAATGCAAATGTCAGATGTAGGATAAAAAAGGTAGACTCAGAACAAAGAGCAAGGTGCCCAGGTGCTCCCGGCCTGACCAGCTGATGCACGTTTAGCGTTAAGGTCTCAGAGATGCACACACACCGGCTTTCAGTTGACATGGGTCTTGGGTGGACCTGAGTTTGAGAGGGAAGTTTTGTTCTTGGAGGGCATGGCCTTGGGAGGCGTGGCCTTTGGAGGCGTGGCTTTGGGAGGCGTGGCTCTGGGAGGCGTGGCTCTGGAAGGCGTGGGATTGGTCAAGGAACTTCCTTTCTCTCTAGGTGAAGCTGAAGGAGTTCACCTGGGAAGAGTGGCGAACCTCAGTGTGATGAGAGCCAGGTCCTGGGCCCAGCTGTTGGTCTCCTTCACTTCCTCCACGCCATCACGAGTCCTCTGGGGAAGCACTGGCAGATCTAGAATAAAGTTCTCTAATTTCTACTTCTGGTAAAGACTAGTGAATTTTCTTCTGGTACATTTTCTCCCATGATAGCATAGCTAGTTGCTAGGTGTGCAACCAACCAACCTGACCGGCCTTTCCTCCTTACCAATGGAAGCCAAGCAACTTGCCTTTCCACACTGGCTGCTAGAAAGCTCAGAATCAAACATGAATCAAGTGAAAGCACCATGTTGGTGCCCAGTAGCTATATTTTCGTCCCTGTGACCGATCCTGTGAGCTGCACACACAGCCCCTCCTGCAAGTCACTCCTCCAAGCCAACCACCTACGTCAATTATGGTTTTCCTCGACCCAAACGTTTCACTCGACTGTGCTGAGACAGAGTTTGGAAAAGGAGTCGGAAGCACTGTCAATACCCAGGAGGTGAGTGAGGAGATACGGGCTAGGGTCTAACGCAGAGGCACTGGGCGCATGGGAAGGTAGAGAGTCAGACCGCAGCCCCGGCTGTGCACCCACCTCTGACCCCGCATTAGGAAGGGTGCACTGGAGCCCAAGGCAGCTCAGACGTGCAGAGGGGACGTCCCCCGAGACCCAGCATGCTGCTCCTCCTACAGGACACGCACTGACCCGACTGTGGACAGAACACGGGGTCCTCCCCTCGGCACACCAGGGCCTGCGTGCTGGAGCCGCGCGGAGCTGAACAGCCGCTCAGGCAACCAGCAGCTCCGGGACCCAGTGCTCCCGCTCCGCACGCGGCCGCTGGGACGCATGTGTAATCACCCTCCAGCCGAGACCGCTCCTGAGGAGCTGCCGCCTCTCTCGGGTAAATAATTTACTTTTACAACTTTTCATTAAAGATTAAAGGGAATTAAATTAAAATTAAAGCAAATTGGAGCTAGAGAAGAGACCTGTGAAGCTTGCGTCCTCCAGTGGGAGGTTCCTGTCCCAAGCCCAAGGAGAGCTGGGCTTCCGGGAGCCCACTGAGGTGGGGAGGGCTCCTCCACCCGGCAGGCCTCCAGGCAGAGCCCTGGGTGCCGGGGCTGTGGACAGGCCGAGCCGCTGCCTTGAACGGCAGAACAGCCACCGCAGGCGGCAAGCCGTGGCCTCCCAACTCAGAGCCCGCGTGGCCAGGGCCTCGAGCCCTGGTGATGTGGGGAAGCTTCAGGCTTGGAATGGGAGCAGCTGTGCAGCCGCTGGCGCTCAGGCACTGCGTCAGGGGCCAGGGAAGCCTCTCCAGGACCCAGAGCCTGGGCTCCCGCATCTGACCAAGGAAGGGCAGGGCCGAGTGAAGGAGGCGTGCTGGGAGAACTGGGCCCAGAGACTGGCTGGAGAAGGAAGGCCCGACAGACCCCGGGTGCCCACACCCAGGAGGTTCTGAGTTAAGCCAGCCAAATGCCAGGAACTCTTGGCACATCCGGCACCACCCAACCTTCAGTACATCAGAGGCACAAGTATTGGTGCCATCGATGGGCAGTGGTGAATGGAGGGAGCTGGGCACAGACAGTGAGCACTCACTGCCAAGCCCTCAGGTTCTAGGGGACCTGGTCTGCTTGGGGCAAGGATACTCACCTGCTGAGGGTGCACCTGCAGCCCCAGAAGTCCCAAGAGGCTCTAGTGTTTGCTGCAGGGGCTGGAGTTTCCCTCTGGGATCAAGTGCAATGAGGCAGTTGAATGGAGAGGAACCAGGAGCCAGGCCAGACTGCCTCATGCCTGCGTGACCTCCAGCCAGCACCTAACCTCTCTGAGCTCAAAGTTGCAAATCCATGGCCCAAGACTCAACAGACAGCAGCCCAGCTACTTGAGCAGTGCCAAGTGCACCAGCACTGTCCACTGTCCACTTAGGGTCCTGCAGCATCCCACAGGGGCTCATCCTGCCCCTGGGATGGTCTCCCTGGCACTGAAGCCTGCATATGCCCCACAGCCTGCCTCCTCCTGAAGGTGGCATCTGCTGCTGCCTGTGCTGGGCTCCTATGGCCTCCACCACAGCCCCTGTGCCCTGCTCACAAGCCCTTCCATGAGGGCCCTCCAGGATCCCTTCTGGAGAAGGCTTCTGCTGCAGAGGGTGGCAGGTGAAAGCATGCCCTCTCCTCCCAGGCACACACAGACTGCAGCCCCTGCCTGCCCGGAAGTCAGGCCAATAGAAGTAGGAAAATCACCCTCCCTCAACCTGGACCGTAGGCTCGACTCTCCTACAACCCTCATCTCCGGGCTCTGAGGACACTGAAGAGCAGAGGAGGGAGGAACCACAAGGTAGGGGGGCACTGGGCAGGTGGGGCCACGTGGGATGAGCCAACTAGAGCCTCAGGATGGGCAGAGTCACAAGAGGGAGGGAGCCGGGTCCCCACCTAACACCCAGAAAGGTGCCTCCAAGGAGCGCCTGAGGTGGGATAAAATAAGGTTGGTGCCCAGGTCCCAGAAACGGGGGGACTGTTTGTGACAGCATTTAGCAGTGAGAGTTACGGTCTCCAGAGCGCAGCTAACCAAGCCTCTGGTCAGGGGGCACTTGGGGGGCACTTGGGGGACACTGAGGCCTTGGGGACGGGGTAGGCTAGAACGGCCTGCACCGTGCACAGGGAATCTCACTTGGCTGGCGGAGACAAGGACCACATTAAGTCCTTCCCCAAAGCCTTTTTGGATCAGCACCTCAGACAACTGAAGATAAACCAGAAGAAAAAAGGAAGGAGAGAAGAAGAGTGTGCCTCTGGCTGGACCGTCACACAGAGACACCTCCTGAGAACAGCAGAGAATTTAAATGATCCCTCTGTCCCCAAGCACCACCTCTCCCTTCCCAACCTCTCACTTGCCACGTTCTCTCCAGCCTGTCTAAATGAAGCAATGATGCTGCCCTCAGGCAGGCCCTCCGCTGACCTGCGACAGCTCTGCCAGGAGCCCTGCCTCCCCACCCTGGGACTCCCTGGGCCTCCCACCTGCCCATCGGATCACTCACACAGGCCCTGGGGCGCAGGGGGCTGGGTGGAATTGCACCCTTCCTGCACCAGAGGGGGCAGCTGAGGAGTGGGGCTAGGTGGCCCCAGGGGGCCTGGGGACCAGCAGCAGTGTAGGCTACTTGTTACCTCTGCCTGGAAGCACGCTGCGGCTGTCCCTCAGTCTCCCCTCCTGGGCCTGGCCATGGTGAACCACAGCAAGGCGCTTGCTTGGTCTGCCTGCTCTAAAGGACTGGCAACTCCCTGAGCCCAGCAGGGCCTGTGTGCACGGGCCTCTGCCAGCACCTACATGCCAGGACTGGCCATAGGACCCTGCTCGGGATGCCAGCTCCCCACACTGTGTCTGTCCAGTGAGAGAATCAGCCACGGGGAAGGAACGGGCACCAAGGAGAGGGCAAAATGTGATCACACTGCAGGGGGGCTCCTGCAGTAGCTGCCCGTGTCTCCTCCCCTGTGACCACTCCTCCCCAGCATGCTGCGACTCCCCTGCCCTGACATTCTCCCTCACGACCTCTAGAAACAGCCATGTCCCTCCTGATGGCTACTGTTGGTCTTTTCAAAACCGCCCCAGTGGTACCTCCTCCAGGAAAATGTCCTGAACTACCGTCCACTGCCTAGCCTGCACCACAGCTATCCCCAGATGGAGTGACTCCCCAGGTGATGGTGAGCTCCCTAAAGACAGGGGCTCGGGGCGTTCACTGAACTGCTGGACAAGCGAATGGACAGCCCCGCCCATGGGGAGAGTTCCTCCAGCCGCCAGAGGACCAGGGTGAGGAGGTTGCACCTTGGGCCTCCTGAACCCAACGTTAATGGGGGCAAATGCTCCCAAAGTGGTGCTGCCCAAGCTCAATGTGGAGCATGAAGCCCCACTGCACCAAGACACCTGCAGAAAGGTCATGGCCAGAAGGCAGCTTCCAGGCCACGTTGGGCAGGCAGGGTGGTGATGCGAGCCGCTCCCGGCCTGAGGCCCCCAGCCACTGGTCACTTTGTGTCTGAGGCCTGCCAGAGCAAGGCTCAAGGGCCTGAAGTCTAGAGGAATTCTCCCCAGGGGCTGGACGCTCTCGGATTCCTGCTCTCAGGCTACAGCAGGCCGCTGAGAACCAGCTGATACCAGGTCCCAGGTGCAGAGCCCGTCCCAGCTCCTTTACCCTGCCACCTCCATCACACACAAGAGGTACTCTCAGGCTGCTTCCACTCTGCTTGGCTGGAGGGGAGCAACATGGGATCAGGCAGCACCCTACACTGCTCCCAGGCAGCAGGACAGGTCCATGGAACTGTGCTGGGCACAGGCTGAGCAGTCGCCCAGGCAGCTCTGAGCCAGAGAAGAGGGACATGCTATGTTAGGGTTTGGGTGTGAGGTGTCCCCCAAAACCTCATGTGTGAGACAATGCAAGAAAGGTCCAGAGGAGAAGACTGGGTGCCAGGAGTCTTAACCCGGTCAGTGAATTAATCTCCTGATAGGGATTCACTGAGCGGTAACTGAAGTGGCAGGGTGTGGCTGGAGGAGATGGCACTGGGACGCGGCTATGGGTGTGTATTTGTACCTGGCAAGTGGAGACCTCTCTGTCTGCCTCCTGATCATCACGTCAACTGCTTCCTTCTGCCACCTCTTCTTCCCTGATGTCCTGCCTCACCTCGAGCCCTCAGGAATGGACCTGGCTGTCTGGATTGAGACCTCTGAAACCCGGGCCCCTAAGTAGACCTTTCCTCTTCCACAGCGGTTCTGGCTGGGTCCTTTCATCACAGTGGCAAAAAAGCTGACTGAAATCCAGTGGCTCCCAGCACTGGCTGTGGCCCTTGCTCCTGGGCTCAGGTCTCTCTCCAGGAACTCTGGGGTTCTCTGACAGAGCCTCTGAGCCCCCGAGGGCAGGACGAGGGGCCCCAGGGTTTTGGAGCAAGGGCTTCCCGTCCTGCATATGATGCATCTGAGGTGGGTGCAGGTTGGGGGAAGCACTTGAGAAAGGACATGCCACAGGGACCACCTCTGGAATTGGCAGGTGGCAGGTCCTGGGCAGAGGGAGGGCCACCATCTCCAGCCAGTGGTAGGGCTGCAGGTCAACCACCCTTTCTCTGTCTCCGGCTGTGTAAGAAGGGATGGTGGCATCTGCCTGGCAGGATGTGGAATACCCCTGGGGCCAAGGGCACAGGGGCACCAGGGGCTCTCCATGCTCAGGGTCACTGCAGCTCTCACAGGTGTTGCCTCTCATCCCGAAACCCTTCTTCAGCCACATGGCCGCTGACCGCTCACCTAGCTGTGTTCATGGCACCTGCCCAGCTGGCCCACACTCCATGCCACATGCACCTGTGAGTCCACTCACTCCCTGCAGCAACAGCAGGGCCACTGGCAGGCAGGCCCTCACCCTGGACAAGGAGTGCACCGAGCTTGCACCCTCCTGCGGGCAGTGCAGCTGAGGCTCCACGGGCTCCCAGGGCTGCAGTCAGCCAGGCACGGTGGGGGAAGGAGGCATCCTCA